GCCGTTTCTAACGGCCGTTTCTAACGGCCGAGCGGCCCAGCCCGGCCTGGTCCCGCCGCGCGCGCCTGCGGTTTGAATTCACCGCCTCGCGATGTTCCCCTGGTGTCATTTTGAGATTAAAGCAGTGTTTGCCTTTCACTAAGGGCAAGGTCAGTGCTGTTATCAAGTAATGGAGAAGGTGGCATCTCTTTCTACAGAGAGAAACGCAACAGAACTTGATGAGGGGAAACGCGCCTAATGTAACAGCTCCCATTCCCGTCCTGTTTTCTTTGGCATGTTTCAGCACCCGATTCAAAGCCCTCCTGAGATTTTCAGTTCTCCCTCTCTGTCTCATACTTTTCTTCAGAAAGCTACTTAGGCTTTCTAAGCAGAGCGCAAATGTAGCTAACTTAGGGAGGGAAGGTGGAAATCATCGCTTCTCTGCAAAGCATTCCTTTGTAGAAGCCACCCTAAAGCAACGGTGAAGCACAGCCACCTTGCAAATGGGTTCTTACCACCTGTAAATGTATTGATAAACTGAGTTTCAGGGGACCAAAGCTATTCATGACTGAGTCAAATTTGCTGGCTCCTGTATTTAACCTAATCTCTTCTCTCCACCTCCCCTGTCCTCATGCTTGTGAAGTACAGGCATCTTCCAAGTGTTTGATACTTGCTCAAAATGAGCATACTCTGCAACTGGTTGCCGTGAATGCATTGCTTTGGGCTCTGTTCTCATCCTCCTTGAATACAGTGCCGTTCAAACTCTATCCCTGTGCTACGCGTAAAAAGTTTCCTGAACTTTCTCTTCTGCTCTAACTGAAACAGTCACTAGAGCCGGTAGAACTATGAACTTGCCACCCAGTAAAGATAAGAAGCACGGGAAAAGGTTTTCAAAATAGTTGAAACCAACAAAAATGATAAAGCACCATGGGCTGACTTACTTTCAGGCCAGAATACAAGACTTTACTGCAAAAATGTTAGGTCAAAACAATAATTTCTTTATGTAGCATTTAGAATTGATAAGTTCCATACAGTTTTTCCTGCAGCTAGAAATAAGATTTATTTTCATACTTAAGCTACAAAGAGCTAAGATACTTCGGTGGTGCTTTAGTTACATAGGTAAGAGATAAGCAGTTGCTTGTAGAAAGAACTGTAATTAAACATATTCCAGCCCAAGTGGTTCTCTTCTTGAGTAATTTCATTCCAATATTAGATCTATTGCGAAATGATGAAGAACTTTCTTCTTCAACCACTTGTCTATAACAGGAGGTTTGGAAAAGTGAAAGAAGTCAACTAAATGAGTGAAATAGCATGTGCTAAAAGGCATTAAATCCCTGGCTCTGGATTGGGGTAAAAATAGTATTGATTACGTGGGAGAAGAAAAAGAGGGAAAAGGTGCTAAAGTTTCAGGTTCTTTGAATACTACTGTAGCGCTGCAGTATTTCTTGAGTTATTAATTTAGCCAGTGGAGAAACCAAAGCTCTGACAAAGTAACTTGATGGCTTTTTCTCGGTTGTTTAGGGGATTCTAAATGAAATGGTGCAGTTGAAAATGTTTATGTGGTACCAAAGGCTTGGTTCAGTGAGTCTTCCGTCTCCGGATTTAGAGACTGCAGGTACACAGTGATGTTTACTATCTTGTTCAACCCTCTTAAAAACAGTTATACCGCAAGGAGAAACAGAAATGTTTGTTCCCTTACTGATAGGCGACTTCTTTATAACACCAAGGTAGTTCTGTGATATACCTGAAGTTAAGTAGATACTTAAAATAAATGTTCTATTATAAAGTGAGAAGTGAGGTCAATAAAAAAGCCAAACCACGTTGCAGTGCATGGGATGTAAATCAAGGAGAGGACGGTGTCAGGGTTTGGTTAAGCCTCTGTCATCATGCTGAGTAGTCACAGAATTACACAAGGGGACTTTGAATTGCAAAGTTAAACTTAATCTCTTATCTAACTCATTCAGACTGTCAGCAGCTTTTGGACATAATGGTTTTATCAACACTATGTCTTTCAATCAGTGATCTCCTTGTTCTTCTGCTTGGATTTTTGACAATGACAAGTTTGGGTTCTGATCTCTTAGAAGAGAGTAATTTCCTTTGAAAAATGGGCAGGGATATATTATGTTGCTGGGACGGGAATTCAGAAATAGCCATGTTTATCTTCCTCTTAAATACCTGAATTCACATCTTTTTTCCGTGTAATAAGTTTCTAGTAATGAGTTACAGAAATGTAAAGGTGATAACAAGCAGCAGAAGTTGTTTTTTCCTAGTGTCAGACCTCTGTAATAAACAGGTGTGAAGTACTTAGAGGCATAGAAATATTAAATTATCTTGCTGCAAGATTTGCTAGAAACAGTCCTATGTTGCAGTCATCCCAGCATCTGGAAATAACTAATCTAGGCATAATTTAGAGAATTTTAATGTTCTTCAAGGTGTTGGGGATGTGGGCTCGTTTAAGAACCAGGAGAAGTTGTGAGAGACGCTAGCAAATTCTTGTCTTCCCAGCCCCTCACTTGCACCGTAAATCTCTCTCTGATTGCTGAACAGAGGTAGAAAGTGTTGAAAGTCTCTTTTCTAGTTCTAATGCTCCTGTTTTGTCAATGATGTCAAGTATTCTAGACTTGATTTATTTGTAGTTGAACTCTTTAAATGATGACTTCTGTTAGATACAGAGGCTTTTAATCAGATAGTTGCACAAATTCAGAACACAATACTTCAGGCTTAATTATTTAGAGGACTGAGTGCGAGTCTTTTGAGGCATTGACTGACTGTAGTCTATTAATGTTAAAGGATTTTAGCACGTTTTTGAATGTCAAGACCTTGCACATGTCAGCCTGGGACAATTATAAGTTATTACAGAGGGACTTGAAGCACAATGTTCTTCAGATGTTTTGACCTACTACATTTTGGACTTGCAAATTGTTATACAAATTTTTCAACAAAATTATTCTCTGATTGAAAACTCAGAGTGATTCCCTTGCTAATAACATAGAATACAATTTGTAAAATTGGCCACCCGGGGCTAAAAAAAAAAAAAAGTTTCAGCTACAAATTTATATAGGAAATTCTAGTGCATGTTCTTTAAAATAAGGTTAAAAAGTGTTGCCCCATAGTATCGCTCTTCCTTTTAAGTCCTTGGTGAACTTAAACTGTGAACAAATTGCCCTCTAGCTCCCCCAGCTGAATCGTTACTATGGAAAAGTGAACAGTTTCCCCAAAAGACCAACTTATATTTGTTTAGCTTTGATTAAGGTACACTTTTTGCCTTTGGAAGTTTGGCTTTTTAATCACACTTGCCTTGATCATATCCTGCCAGTGATTTATTTTGAAATAACTTTACTATTCCAAGGGAAGACAGGATCTTCTCGACCTAGATCTGTTAGAGAGTTATGGAAACAGCTCTCATCTAGATAAAATATGTTTTGGGTGAAGATGGTTGTGGAAAAGACCTATCAAATCCCCAAAGAGAGAAAAGACAGAGCCTGGGGTGAATGAAGGAGTCTTGGGAAACCCTGACGTTCAGGAGCAGGATATCAAGAGGGTTGTCATCTGTGCAGTAGACTTCAAAGTTTTAGTCAGCTAGCAATAGGACAAGAGGAGTTCTGGGAGGATAAAAAGGATCAGAAAGAGGCTTTGAGTATAGTGAGCACTGGAGCAAGTTATATAAAATTGGCTTCTCAGATGACACGGCAAACATCCGTACAGAGTCCTTGAGGCCAAAGCTAGACGTGGCTTTTTAAGTTGTGAGCTTATTTATATGCAGCTGTGTTGTTTCTGTGGATGTGTACAGCAGGGATAATAGCAGAAGTGTTTCTTCCAGCTGTGTAACGAAGACAGGCTGGGCAATTGCTTATCTCTGGGTGACTTTATGGCAACGCATGCTCCTTTTCCCTGAGGCAATCAAGCTGCCATGTCCTCTCAAGCTTCTGCAGTGCTGTGCTGTTGCCTGTGCAGACAACAGCATTTTCTCTTTTCTTTGATTAAAACCTTGATAATGTCATACCCCTGCTCATCATTGTGCCCCCTCTGTTTCTTCTCTTGCCCATGAAGGCCTATCATTTTCAAGGTGCTTGAATACTTACCAGTCAGACGAAGAGAAGAGAAGTAAGACAGTAGGTCAGCAGAGGGTCAAAGAGAATGTGAGTTAAGAACATGTGGGAGAGCCAAGGAAAAAGGGCATGCAGTCCTGTGAACGTGAATGAATAGACGTCCTTTTTCTCATTATGGACCTTTGAAATAAACACAGGAAAAAAGTGCTAAAGCAGGTGAAACTTCCTCTGGTCTCTGACAACAGAGGTGTCAGTGGTGCTAACCAAAGGGCTAACAACAACCTGATCTTGCTTGACTGACTAACAAAGTCTCAGAAAACCTCTTTAAGACCTAAATTTATGACACTGGTCTTCTCCACCTTTATTTCTTACAAATCCATATACAGTATAACGCATGTCCAACATAAGTCATTATCGTAAGAGGACAAAAAACATTACTGGAATGGAGTTACTGGAAGCAGCTTTTGTGATTTAAAGGACTATTAATTCCTGAGTGTGGGAATGAAATAGAATGTTGTTTTCTGAGAGATGAACATGCTTTGTAATCCATGCAACCCATGAAAATGTCTTCTGGAGGTTCTACGTGACATAACTGAACTAAGTTCCAAACTTACGTCTGAAAATTGTTGCAAGGTGGGAGGGCAGAGGTCTATTCAATATATGGAAAATCATGTCACTGACACTAGCCAATTTAGAAGCTTATCATTTAGACCTAAGTAACTGCCAGCCTGTAGAAAATTCAGGTTCTTTTTAGTAGATGTTTAAAGTAACACATTGCAGTTCATGCTTGTCATGGAGTAAGAACATACACAGAGTTGGTTACCATATCTCAGGTGACCTACAGAAACTTACTAAATTGCAATGACATTATAGGTTCTCTTGGCCCAAAGAGAATTGAAGGTAATGTTACTGCGAGTTCTAAGGTCAGTTCCTATTTACTTGGATTTGCACATCCTTATTTCCGTGATGTCATGGGGAAAGGTGCATGGGGGAAGAAGGAGTAAAGAAGAAAGATGAGAGATGCCTCTGGACCCAGTGAAGGGTGTTGCTTTTAGGAAGAAGTAGACCACCTTTGCAGTGGGCAGGGAGCATTGTGCTCTCTGCAGTTCTATGAAGAAGTCCTACCTTCACTACTCTAGTCTTTTCATCAGAGCAAGTAGAAAATGCTATGTTTGGAAAAAGAGGTGGAGAGATAGTAAGGAAGTAAAAGAAATCAAGGTCCCAACAGTTTCTTCAGACAATTGTCAAATGTTAGGCCTGTAACAGAACAGTAGGGAATGCGCTCTGGAATAAGGATGACTTGGGTTTTCCTACAGATGCTTTCCCTGAGAGTTTATAAATAAGTATGTTGATTCTATTAATCTGATATCTTCCCTCAAAAAGCCTCTGACATCCTAGGTACAAAATCATTTTAAATACTGTTAGTTATGAGAACATATGTAATAAAGCCCACAGTGATTCATCGTTCTCCTGGTTACTGAATACACTAGATACATCCCCGTACTCTGTGTTCATACTTAATTGGGTGCTCGTCTGTTCCTCTGAAAGGAATTCAACAAACCCACTGAATTAGGAGTGTATTTAAACTCTCTGATGCATTGATTAGTAATACATTTCAGCTCTGATGGAAACACAGTTTGAGTGTGGGGTTGGTTTTTGTTCTCAAGACAATGTAACCTTTATCCAAAGATAAAGTCTGTGATCCACATTGGTGCCCTCTTCTGGGTAGCTAAAAACACTGAAACTTCAAAAGTTATGGGTTTTCAGTGACTGTGTTGAATCTGGGAAGGTATTAAAAATTATCCCAATGAACTTGTTCAAAGGCAATTACATATTTCTTTATTTTGCAAGCAGTTTTTTCTCATAAACTGTGTCATGCTGATGCTTTATATAATACTGGCTCAGTATTTTAGTTAATGTTTGTTCACACAGATATACAACAGATACTTTCATAAATAAAAAGCTTGCTTTGTGTAACTTAAAATCCCTTTGAATGTGTAGCTTCTCCTTGCCACGGATACGACTACTACTTTCTCGATGGAAGCAAATATTTGTTAACTGGACAGTAATGTAGCCATTTGGAGAATTTGAAGAAACTTCACTGTGTTCTCTAGGGTTTACAAAAATTAACTCTTCTTAAGAAAAAAATGAAGAGCCACTTCTAAATAAATGGACCAGTGTAGGGAGTACACAGGACATCCATCCATAATGATTTCACATCCCCAGCAGAGATTGCAGTTATACACCCTTTAATGTGATATGAGTTTGCAGTAGAGGCCATTTTAAGAATCGTAACCAGGAGGGATAAAGCTAAGAAACAAGTAGAAGAGATATTTGCTTTAGGCTAGGGTTTGGGTACTGGGGGCACTGCCGAAAAACACTTGCAGAGTCCAACCCTATGATCATTTGGGGCTCCTGAAGGTCAAATTCTGGGACAGAGAATTCAGGCTTGCAATATAAGCCCACTATATAAATCTTTGTGTTCTCACTTAATTTGATTTCAGATATTGTCTTCAAATTTATTTGAGTAGCAATCAAGAATCTTTGGATTTGGTTAGTTTAGCAATATGAACTTATTAGTATTACTCAAGCAAAATCTCTCATAGTGATACGGTATATCATAATGATATGGTATCAGTCATGAAACAGATGCTACTTTAAAAATATGTGCTACATTAAATTGAATGTAAAGTCACTTTCAATCTTAGTTTTAATAGTGATAGAGAAACCAGTATTCACTGCCTAATCAATTATGTTCAGAAACAGCACGTTCCCTTTGACTACATGCAGTCTTACCGTTGTTCAAGAAAAATGTGAAACATTTGCATGGAAAAGCCTACATAAAACATACAGATATAAGGTCCACCAAACTTGCATTACTGAAGTCTTTCAATAGAATTTGCTAGCGTTCCAGTCATGTGCCACGTGACGTTTTGATCTGTCCATCTGTTCAAAGCATCGGTCTTTGTGTCCTAGGCAACCCAACCGGAGAGCGCTGTGGAAAGACTTGCGTGGAAGAGC